CAGTCTCCCAAGCAATCTGAAGCCGCTCAAGGTATGCCACATGTCCCTGACGCACTGGCAAATCTTCGACTGAAACTGCTGCAGGGCCAGGGCCAGCACCAGGGTCTGCTGCAGGGTGCCATAAATCAATGGCCAAAGGCTCTGCCACTGCCTTTGCCTTTGCCTTCGACTTCCCCTTGGGGTTGCCTTGGGTGGCATGACAGCGACAGTTGGCAGTTGGATCAACGCCCCAGCGGCATCGGCATTTCAGGCCTACGATCTCCCACATCACATCATCCTCCACCAGCTTTGACCCTCACGCCAACACGCAATCCAGAGATGATGTGGCTCCATTGGACCATCCACCTGCTCTCATGGATCATTGAATCCCTGCAACTCCACCCGATTGCACGGGAACCGATGCCTGAACCTTTCTACTTTCAAACAGCCACAGTTCGCCGAGTCCACCACGAGTTCAGAAACACCATCCATGACCTGTCAGCTACCCGCCGCCGGCTTCTTCGCGGCCTGCACGCGCTGCAGCACATCCCTGCACAACAGATTCAAGAACTCAGCCAAGCCCATGTTGGCCACTATCGTCTGGTGGCCCCAACACCATTTGTTCCTGCGAACGACCCCCTCCGCGACATCAGCAACAACAGTCACTGGGGCCGCCCATTGCCACAAGGCCTGATGCCAGAGGATTTACCACCACCGCCATTACCACAAGATATGACACCGCCACCTCCTCCACCACCAACTCCCAACCCTTTCACGGTGAGCACACCACCACCACACTCTACATCGTCGACTTCCACGCTCTGGACCACGACCTCTCGCACTTCGTCTAACACCAGGTCCCCTGATGGACGCACCGGCCTTCACGCCAACCTTTGGCGAGCTACGACTCACCAAGATGGCAAGCGATGTGAACCTTTCACTCCGCACTGGACTCAAAAAAAGCTACTCCCGCTCACAGTCGCTCAGTCTCTCTTCCATCTGCATGTCCACCGCAGATGCCTTTAGCCATACATGCCCGCAGCTGTTTCCACTCAATTCAGTGATTTTCCTTTTGTTGCTCGTGACACTACGTCGTCGTTGCCTTCCCCTACATCCCTGCCACTGACCACTGACAGCACCGGCCCACGCCGATGGCATCGCTCTCGATGATCCATATCTACCACCGGAACCAGACATCACCAGTCCTTCTGCCAACACAGTACCAGCTACCAATCTTCAATCCGACACACCTACTCCACCATCCTCTGTCACCGCTAACTAACTAGGCTCTAACTTTTAATTCAAGCTGTACACAGTAGCAGGGGGTAGCGCACGACTGACACACTTCGTGGTGAAGCAATGGGGACGCCACATTGTGTACCGGTCAATTTTAGCGTGCGCTCTTGGTTTAAACCATACTGTTCAGGCTGACTTTCTTGCCTAGATGGCTAATGCAGTAACTAGCTTTAAAGTGCACCCCACTGGAAGACTTCCAAACTGATACAGCTTCGATCCAATTTGAGCCAAGAATCTTCTGAATGTTTGCGGATGAGTAGGTGCCACACGCCTCCCAATCTCCTATGGAGCTAGTTGGTCAGTGTGACGCGGCCGGCCATACTGACCAAGCTGGCGCAAGAACGAGGAGGTCGAGGTTGACCGCAATGACAAGTGGAGCATTCGGGACACCAGTAATGGCTTATCTGATGCGTTTTCCAATTGCGTCTCGCCTGCCTAAATTAAGCGCGTTGGTCAAGCCTATTTTTTGATAATCCTCTGACCGTGTTCGGAGCCTGTAACAGCAAGGACAAGAGGTTGACACTTGAGGATATGGCGATATGGCTTTGCTGCTTGGAGCAAATCTTGAGCCTGGGTGTCACGTGTCAAAATGAGAACTTGAGGCCAGGGGGAGAGGTCGAAAGCTAGCCGAATCGCACCGGATGTACTAGTTACATAGTCGGCAAAGCATGTAGGGATTACATGTTTTGGGAGGAAGGTTGCTATGTACATACTTTGCGCTAAAGAATGTAAATGTGACATCGCTGACTGGGAAGGGTACATTGGAACAACCCGGGTGCACTCGTTGGCAGGCACGAAGATGCGTGATCGGCAAATCTGGGGGGTAAATTTACCCTCCGCTTTTGTATGCCTTGAGTCGGAAAGATGGGTAAGCATTTCTGACATCATACGGACTGTACATACACTAGGGCGTCCGTAGTGTAGGAGAAGCACGGGTAAAAGGTATATGGAATAGAGTGTCTTGAGGAAATAGCCGGTGTATGGTTATTGCAAATCTGGGGGGTAAATTTACCCCCCGCTTATGTATGCCTTGTGCTGGAAAGAGGGGTAGGCATTTCTGGCATCACAAGGACTGTGCATACACTAGGGCGTCCGTAGTGTAGGATA